GGGGGAGAGAGAGGGAGAGAAAGGGGGAGGGGGAGAGAGGGAGAGAGGGAGAGAGGGAGAGAGGGAGAGAGGGAGAGAGAAAGGGAGAGAGAAAAATCACCAGGTGACGCACGCCTTCATGTCGTTCGCCAGAGAAACGATGTTCTGCACAAAGTAGGCCATCGAGGATCCCTGAGGAATGTGGTTGCGAATGACGTAGAGAAGCCACGGGCGGCTGACCTTGCCGGACTCGATCTCCGAACGGCGAATGTTCAGCGGCAGCGACGCCAGCAGCATCTCCGGGCCGAAGGACAGGCAGCCGGCCTGCAGAGTCTGCTCGATCTCCTTCTGCAAGTGGGGCTGCTCATCCTCCTCCAGGCCGCGGTACACCTCGTCCAGAACCAGCAGCGGCTTCATGAGGAAGGCATCATCGGAACGGCCAAGATGCTGAACAAAGGACCGAGAGAGAGAGAGAGAGAGAAACACACAATGTCAAAAAAGGGCTCGACCGGGGGAGGGGGCACGGGGCCGTCAAAGAGACAACCATGCAATGGGCAACGCGAAAGAAGGCAATCGGCCGGTACCTTGAAGATGTCCTGCAGCAGACGCATCAGGTGCATGAGCTTGCTGGAGAGCAGGGCCATGGCCGGGTTGCTGCCGGCCTCGACGTCCTCCATGTTGTCATCGCCCGCGGTCAGGTTGTTCAGGGGGTCCTGCTGAGCGGCCGAGGCGATGGACGCCTGCTGGGCCAGGGCGGTGTACTCGGTGTGCAGCGTGGCAAAGAGGGCCGCGACTTCCTTGTGGAAGATGGGCCGCGCGCTGGCCACCGCATTCGGACCAAGCCCGGCATACAGGGCGGTCAGCGTGTCGACCGCCTTGCGGCGGACCTTCGGCCGCTGGTCCATGCACAGGCTGACCATCTGGCCCACCAGAGCGGTGGACGTGGACAGCGTCCACATGGGGGCCTCGATGGCCCCGAGCAGACGAGCCAGACACTCCAACAGGGCACGCGTGGTGGCCGATGACTCCACATAGTGGCCCAGGGCCTTGGAGAAGAGCTGCGCCAGGTCGGCGTACCGAGCGCAGAGGACCGACGCCTCAACCCGGCTGATGATCAGCGACAGAAGCAGGACAATCGCATTCCAGATGGCCGACTCATCGTCATTGGAGTTGAGTGGGGCCTTGCCGCGGCGCTGGCGACCGCCGGTCGCCCGGACGGGCAGCGCATCGGCCTCGGCCACCTGCCCGGCCAGCAGGCTCACAAGGGCACCGAAGTAGGCGGTCGGGGTCCGGTCGAAGCCCTGAGCGGCGATGGTCTCCTCGACGGCCGCCAGGATGGCCACATTGTTCCGGTGGCTCGGCAGGGTCGAGTGGAGCTGGCGCCGGATGACATCGAACGGGTCGGCCGGGTCGGTCGGCGCGGCGGCGCCGGTCGAGGGGGCGGCGGCGCCGTCGTCAGTGGTCATGGCATTGCCGCCCAGCGGCAGGAGGTCCTCATCATCGGAGTCCGGCTGGCCGGACAGGCGCCGGCGCGCCTCCAGGCGCTTGCGCAGAGCCAGCTGCTCCTTCTGCTCCTCGAACATCTCATTTTGGATGCGGTCATGCAGGGCAAGTGCCTCCTTGGTCAGGGCCATCGGCTTGGCCGGGGCCGAGCGCCGGCGGACCGTCTGGGGCTTGGGCGGCATGGTGCTGTTGGGAGAGGCCGGTGGGGAGGGAAGGGGAGGAAGGGGTAGGAGGGGATAGGGGCGGGAGTCGAGGGGGGAGCAAAAGGAAAAAGAGGGGCTTGAAGAGTGGAAGGGAATCCGGAGGGAGGATAGGGCAGCCTTAAACGGGAAGCGAGGGGGGGGGCGGCCGCATTGCTGGTCGGCCTCTTGGGATCTCCTCCGCAGTTCGATGCACCTCCGACACACAGGTCGTCGCGGGAGGGGTGTGCGGACGCCGCGAGGGCTTTGGCTTCGGAGCCGGGGCGGATGCGCGTGCGTGTGCATGTGTGTGCGTGGTGTGTGTGTGTGTGTGTGTGTGTGTGTGCTTGCGTGGCGGCGCACCGCGCGGGCCGACCACCCCAGGGGGGATTGTGCCCCGGGCGCACCGGGGCCGGACGGGGGCGGGGCGGGGCGTGGGTGCGTTGCTGCCGACGCCGCGCGGACACCAACAGGCCAGTTGAGGCGGGCCCGGGAGATTGCATTCGGGGCAGCCGCATGGAGAAGTATCCGTGATCCAGGCACGTGTCACGCTTAACCGGATGCTTAACCTCCCCGGCTGCCGCATTTTCGCCAGTCATTTGGCGCCCGACAAATTGGCCTCCACATCATCAGGGGTGCATCGGCACCTATTCGGCTTTTCTCATGTTTCCCCGCGCCCGCCCGAGGAGACGGGGATCTGCCCCTGCCTCGGGCGGGGAGAACTCCACTCGGGCGCGGCCCATTGCCCATCTTCGGCGAGGGGGGGGGGGAGGGGGGGGTGCTCTCAGCGCTCGGCTCCCCTCCTCGGCGACAACGCGGAGGCGGCTCCCTTTTTCAGCTGCCTCCAGACTGGGCCTGGCCTTTGTGACACAGCAGTCACACTTCTCTGTCTCTCCCTCTCCCTCCAGCTCCGTCGAGCCCCCTCTTTTTTTTTTCCCCTCCCCTCCTTTCGTCACCACCTCTCACCACCATGAGACGGGCGCTGTCCCCCTTCCTGGCGGCGGTCCTCCTCTGCCTGGCCTTTGCCTCGGCGGTCTTCAGTACAGATACCGCCAGCCCCAGTCGGATCCCCAGCACACTCCCCAAGAAGACGGAGAAGGGGTCAGACAGTCCGTTCGGCTTGCGCGAACGGGTGTCCCTCCAATGCTTGATTCGCGGCCGGCTGATCGATGGCAAGGTGGTCACCGCAGACAACATGTCCAGCGGCCAGTCAGCCACCGACATTGAGCAGGAAGGCATCGAGGTTGAGACGTGGGCTCCTTTCCCCAACTGCCTGAACAACAACATGCCCCTGCGCACGTTCATGGCCACCAACATGGAGTACACGTGCACCCTGCCAGCCTCCTTCTTTGAGAGTGCGTCCCTGCGGTCGGCCTTCGCGTGCCTGCCCCGCCGCGCCGTCCCCCCCCCCTCTCCTCCCCACCCGCATTTCGCCCAGTACAACTGGCGGTGCCTTTTTGCCCGGGGCTTTGTCCCTTTCACTGCTCCTCCATTGTGTGCTGACCCGTCTTTCCGCCGCCCTCTCCCCCTCGCCCCCCTTTCCCTCCCCCGCCCCTTTCGCCTGCACCGCTCGTGCTGCTAGACGGCTTCGCCCGCTGCCGCGTGGCCACCACCAACCGCGGTCGGCGGTACATCCCGCTGACGATCCCCTTCTGGCCGGTGTACCAGCGCATGACTCCGGCCGCGGTGCATGCCCTTGGCCTGCGCCTGGATGTGTACGGCTTCGTGGACACGACCAGCCTGAGCCCCGCCCTGCAGGCGACGGTCCGGTCCATGCCGCTCCCCCCGCGGCTGGTCCCGGTGGACACCTATGTCGGGAATCACATCAACTTCATCATGCACATGTCTCACCCGGACATGCTGGGCGGCAATGATGGGGAAACCTTCTCCGGGGGCTTCTCCTTGATGCATCTGCTCGGCCGACACATTGTGGCGGCGACGGCCTACCCGGTGCGCGACCAATTCCGCCGCGTGGTCTCCGGGTCCCTGGTGGATGTGATGACCGGGTCGGTCTTCCACAAGGGCGTGGCTGTGGAGAATGCCTTCGTCGACATGCACGGGGTGGTCATGTGCGTTCCAACCGGCCTCTTTCCTCCGCTGCTTTTTCTTCCTCAGGCTCCCACTTGTCGGCCACCTTTCCCTTTCTCTCCTCCTCCCCTCGCTGACTGGCATCTCGACCCGCCGCCCCCCGCCCATTCCCGGCGCCTCTGTGCTCCTGAATTGCCCTTCTCGACCGCCAGCTGGTCTGAAGGCGAGAACTTCGAGCCAGAGCGCATCCCCAAGAGTGCACTCAATGTCTTCATCAATGCCATTGTCGTGTTTGTCCTGGTGTTTGTGGCCTTGGGCGGCATGTTCGCGGTGTACTTCGTCCTGGTGGTCAGCCCATCGGTCCACCAGGCCATCCTCCAGGAGAAGGAAGCCAATCGGAGTTTGATCACCGGCGCCTCGCAAGGCCCGCTGGGGGCCGCTGCCCCCGGCGGAGGCCCCCCCGCCGGCTCCTCCAAAACCAGCCTGGCCGAGAAACTGGCGTAGCTTCGGCGATCGAGAACAGGGAGGGGGCCTCGTCCGCCGGGGTTTTGTGGTTCCCTCGCGCCACTCCTCACGGCACCCATGGCGTGGGCCATTGGCAATCACTGCCCGGGAACTCCCCTCTCCGCAGGTGCATTTACGTATCATGTACATTATTGTCGTTGCTTTTGTTCCTGTTGCTTGCATACGGGGGGGGGGGGCATGCATGTGCGCGTGGGCAGGCGTGCGGGTGGTGTGTGGGTGTGTGAGTGCGCCGGCCTGCGAGTCCACGCCCACATCCAGGGGGCCAGGATGAGAGGGAGGATGCAAGAGTGAAAGGTGCCTCCAGCGCGGGGGGGGGGGGCGACCGAAACCCCAAGGCTCCTGCCAATCAACACCGCCGATCACTCTCCGTGCATCGGTTCTGATATTGGAGACCCGCGCGTCTCTTGTAAAACAGCCAGCTGGTCTGTTGTCACTAAGGCTGGCCCCCAACAGCGAGTGTAGATGCTACGGACAGGATCCGGGGGGGGGGGGGGGGATTGTGCGTACCGATCACGGAAAGATGGTCCGGGGCAGGGCTTCTTCTGGCTCCGGGTCCGATGGGGGCGTCTCTCAGGGCGGCCCCAAGGACCCTTCCTCCTCCTCCTCCTCCTCCCCTTTTTCTTCCTCCTCCCCTCTCCTCTCTCTTCTCTTCTCTTGCAGCCACACCATGCCCTACCTCCTGCAGTCGAGTGCTCTGATGCCCTTTGATGAGGCGTGTCAGACCTTTTCCCAGCATCGCCATGCCCCATCGCACTTCTGGTGCGGCCCTGACATCCCGTGTGGCGGTGGCTTCTCTGACCAGGACCACCTTGGGAGTCCCAAGCACCTGGCCCTGGAAAGCCTCCTCCAGCAGGCCCCCGACACTTGGACCATCGAGGATTGCAAGCGGGTGTTGGGTACGCCGAATTTGACCGCCCACTCGGCGGCCGCGGTGCAGGAGATTCCGCTGCCAAATCCGACAATCACCTCGTGCGATGGGGAGGTGTCGTTGCTTGGCACCCCGCTCGATCTGCCGGTGTGGGTATACTTTTGGCGCGGTCGTGCGGCCTTTGGCTGGCTCAAGTTCGCTCCGAACGGGCAGCTGGTCGACCGTGGCATGTGGATGACCTTCGAGTAGACTGGGCCTTTGTCTTGCCTTCCCTGCGCGCCCCCCCCCCCCCCACCTCCTCCACGCCAGGCGGGCCCGCTCACGCAATACATCTGCCCTGTCAAGTGTCCGGGCTGGCTGTGCCCGCTGTCCCCTTCCCTTTGCTGCTGCTGCTGCTGCTGCTGCTGCTGCTGCTGCTGCTGCTGCCTTGCACCCGATCTCCCATCACGGCATGTGCATCTCGGCGTGGGGGTGCTATCAGGCGCGATGCTTCGAGCAGCCTGAAGGCGGAAGATCTATTATGGCAGGGAGAAGGGCAAGGAGAAGGGCGCGAGGGCGCGAGGGGGGGGGGGGGGGGCCAAGGGAAGGCAAGGGGAGCATGCACACACGTGCCCATCACCGCTTTGGCCCATGCTGCGGGTTGGGCAGGTGCGGCGAGAGAGGATGCACATGTACCCGCACCGGGTCAGAGAGCGGAATAAAGTGCAAGGCATACTCTCCCAGGGCATTGGTCACATCGCTCCCGGACCCACTCCGGCCCAGGGGCAGGACCTCGACCGCGGAGGCGGCACTGTGAACAAGGGCATAGGCACCATCGTCCGAGGAGAGGTGGCTCACCTGAAGGGTTTCGAGGAGCCCATGATCGAGATGGTCGTCATGATTGAATGCCAGCCCGGTAACCAGCTCCAGGGTGGAAGATCCTAGACGCATTTGCGTGTGTGTGTGTGTGTGTGTGCGTGTGTGCGTGTGTGTGTGTGTGTGTGCGTGTGTGTTTGCAAAGTGTTTGGTTTTCAGCATGACGAAGAGGGCAGAGGTGAGTGGAAAGGGACTCGGGACCCAGGGGTCGAGCATCGAGACGGGGGCCGGCCGGAATCAAGGAAGCAATAATCGCGCGTACCGGTCCATGTGACGGTCGAGAGCTCGAGGGTCGCGTCGAAGGAAGCCTCGCTAGGCTGCAGGGCATCTGCCTCGGCCAGGGGCGAGAACCCCTCCGGCGACTCGATGCCAGCCGGGCTGGACAGTATGTGAGTGCTGCGATCGAAGGAAGCATAGGCATCAGACCCGGCGGCCGCGGTTGCGGCAATGGACGCCGTCGATCCCGCAGCCGGGTGCACGCGGGGGAAGACAATCCGCGACCGGCCGCATGGCAGACGAACCAACACCGCCAGCCTGGGGCTGGTGATGCGCGGCGCGGTCGCCCCCTGGCCAACTGTGGCGTGGGGGAGTAGCGCCGAGTCCGGCAGATTATATGCCACGCCACGGATGTCCACAGCCAGAGGCAGGAGCGAGGAGAAGCGCAGGGGATTGCCGCGATTGTCGCGCGGGGTGTCGAGGCGCGCGCGTGACAGCGGTGGCACGAGGGCCAACTCTCGCGCAAGGCCCGCCTCCAGGCCGCTGGTGCCTGACACATCGCAGGCCGGGCCATCGGCCACCAGGAGCAGGTCCGCCGGCAGGGTCCACGTAGAGGCAGGGTGGCGGAGGAACCGGCGTAGCACAACATACAACGCTCGTAGGCCGGCTGCAGGATCGCCAGCCGTCACGGCCGCCGTGGCAGCCTGATGGACCAGCCCCAGGGAGGCCTGCAACGCTGCCAGGGCAGGGGCCAGGGGCGGCAGGCCGGCGCCCGCGCCACCAACCGCCATGCCCGGCTCGAAAGCCTGCTGGCCATCCGACGGCCGCATGTCCTCCACCACCAGCTGCACCAAGCCGAGGGTGTGCTCCACGCGCGTGGCCAGTTGCCGAGCCAGACGGCCAGCATCGGGCCCATGCATGTGAGCCACCTCGGACAACGGCCCCGGGAGCCAAGCCATGACATGGAATAGGACCGCATGCAGGCGCAGCAGCTCCAAATTCGCACGGAGCCAGGCATGCATGCGCCGAGCACGCGGAGAGTAGTGCCCGGATGTTGCCGCCGGCACCACCGGCCCTGGTACCGAGCTCCGAGCGAGAAGCGCCACGGCAGCATTGTAAGCCGCCCGGGCCAAACGCCCGAGAGCCGCACACTGGGCCATGAGGGTCTCCTCGGCCGGCCGGCGAGCTGTCGCTCGAGAAAGCAGCCCGCCGGGGGCTTCGGGCAAGAGGGGACCCACGGTTCGCGCAAAGTGCCCCCGACACTGGGCGCCCAACACCGCCAGTCGAAGGAACATCGGCCAGAACCCCCCGACAAAGGAGTTCAACAGCCGCCCCTGGCGAATATCGCTCATGAGTGGCCCGGTGGTGAGGGGCCCGGCCGCGATGGCATTCGAGCCGGCTAGAATTTCGCGATTGGTCGCCGCCAGCGAGGCAAGGATGGCGGATGAGGCACGCGCGGCCGTGTCGTCGGCTGGCATGTCTCCGGGTTCGCTGTCAAGCATGCTGGTTATCGGCTTTTGTCAGTGCAACTGCCCATACCGGAAGAGGGAGCATGGCGGGTGGGGGGGGGGGGGGGGGAAGGGAAAAGGGCGATGGGGGGCATGCGGGAAACATGCCACATATCGGGCACGCACTCCAATTGACGAAGCATGTGCTCCAGGGCCGGGCCCGGATCGGTGGCTGCGCGCGCGTATGCCGCGAGCACCGCGCGCAAGAGATCCAGCAGTGCGACGGTCGAGCCGCGCAGTACGTTAACCGTCATCGGACGGTCGTGACGCGTGGCCGGGCGCGAGGCATCCGCATGGTGTGTGGAGCCGGCCTCTCGGCCGTCTGGCTCATCGATTGCCATTTCCTCGTCGCTGGCCACATGTCTCTGGCTGGCAGCCGAGGAGACGCCCGTCGAAGCCGGATCACTTACCCCAGGGGACATGTTCCCGGTGGCGGCGAATTGCAGGAGCTGGGCCTCGGCCAGACGGGAAGCCGGCCCGGCACCGGCCAACCCCCGCGCCACATCCCGCGCAATTGACAACTCCGCGGGGCTGAAGGCCGGGCCAAGCCCGCCGGTGAAGCCCGGCATCCGGGCCGTGACCAGCTCGCAGCCGAGAAAGAGTGCCGGCAATTCGGCGGCCAGCAGACGAGCATGGCGCAAGATGTGTGGCGGCAGTCGGCTGGCCATGCCGCCGCCGTCGGCCGACGGCTCGCCGGCAATGGCCAGAGTCTCGGCCGGCGAGCCGAAAACCAGCACACCGGTCAGACGCTCGGCCGCCCGGGCCCCGGCCGCCGCCGCATTCACGGCGAAGACCACGCGCGATCGATAATCCGGGTCGTCGGCCCGGTGGTCCGGCAGCAGCAGGGTCCGACTGAGGCCCAGGAGCCCATCCAGCATGTGGGCCGCCAGGCGAGGATGGAAGCGCCCCAGCGCCCGGAAGGCCGCATAGATGGCATGGCGCTCGCGGTCCACGGCATCCAGCTCGGTGGCCTCGGCCGAGCGATTCAACAGGGGCAGAGCCGCGTCGAAGGCCTCCTCGAGGCCGAAGACCGTGCGGCCAAAATGCTGCGACATGAAGAACCCCATCATCGGGTGGTCCTCGGTTTGGGAATCCATCTGGTCCAATGGCCGGGCCCCGGACCAGCGCAAAAGCCGCCGGCCAGCCCCCGGGAGCCAGTGCAGCCCCGGCGGGGCCCCTTGGCGCCGGACATGCGCCTCGCTGGTTGCCTGCCGCAGGAGATCCGTCAAATCACACTGGTAGTCGGCGATGTACTCGGCTTGGGCCGAGTGCCGGTCCTCCGGGCCGACGCTGCCCCACCGCCCGAGCATCGGCGAGGCCAGGTTCCCCGCGAGCGCCGTCAGGCACATGCGCAGGGCCGGCAAATCCGGCAGATTGATCGGCGCCCGGAGGAGAGCGTGCGAGGCCGCTCGCACGGCCGGATTGGCGTCCGACAGCCCGGGCAGCAGGAAGGCCAAATGCTCTCGTGATAGGGCCAAGCGCGAGGGGTTGGCGCTGGACACCTGCAAACGATCCAGGCGGCCCAGGGCATTGGGTGCGACGATGGCCGTGGAAGTGGAGGCCAATTGCGGGGGCTCGGTGAAGCGCGGCAGCACGGTGTTCATGTGGGCCGCCCGGGCATGGTGATAGCGAAGGATGGACCGCAGGGCGCGCATGGCCCGAACGCGCACGGCGTCGATCTCATCGCTGAACATCCCGACGATCAGATCCAGTGCCCGGAGGGCAAAGGTCTCAGACTCCAGGGAGAAGAGCTCGAGAGCATCTGCATATGGGCGTGTGCGGGGAGGGAAAGGGACGGGCGGGTGGGGGGGGGGGGGGGGGGGGGGGGGGGGGGTCGCGCGCGCGGTGATCAGGAGGAAGGCAGGGGAAGTACAGCGCAACCGGGCGAAAGGGATGGACAACAGGCCATGCGCGATGGGAGACAACAACTGAAGCAAAGTAAGCCGGGGAACATACCGAGTGCCGCGATTCGGACATCGGCATATTCGTCCTCGAGACCGTGGACAAAGGCGCCGAAGGAGCCGGCCTGCACAAAGCGCAGGCTCTCCTCGGTGTTTTCGGCGTCCTCATCGTCCTCAAGCACGGCCGGGTCGTTGAGATTAACCGGCGACTCCGGGGCAAACATGGACACCGTGGCCTCATGGTCCGTGGGGCGAATGCCGAAGCCGGTCCCCTCGAAGCCGCTGGCGGTGTTGACCCCGGGGATGGATGTGCGGATGGGATGGTGCTGGCTGGCGCCCCGGTGGCGTCGGCCATCGCGGCCGCCCCCGCCGCCAGCTCCGCCGGACGGCCCGTCAAGCCCGGCGTGGCTGTACCGCAGGCGCCCGGTATTGGTCAAGGCACTGAGCGAGTAGCGGGTCGCGGCGATCGGGATGCGCATGCATTGGCCGACGAGCTGGTGCGCGGCCGCGCGCACATGTCGCGAAGGGTCGCTTTGGGCCACGCGGCAGGCTGTTCGGAAGAGCAGGACAAAAACCGGCGGAATGCGCGCCGCCGGGAGGGACCCCCGATCGGCATTCTGCAGCAGCCCCTGGAAGGTGACCGGCAGGAGGAGGCGCCGGGCCGCGGCAAAGCCGGCCCCCAACAGCCGCAGCGCGGCCAGTCGAACCGGCTGGTGACGGTCATCGAGTGACGCGTCGGCCGGCAGGAGGAAGCACCGGGCCAAAATTGGCGGGACCGGGGCCGCCCCCTCCGGGGCAGAGGAAGATGAAGGGCCCCCGGCGTAGTCATTCGAAGCAAAGAGCAATCGGCACACCCCCGGCACCGGGCCCGTCGGGCAACACACCAGCCAATCCAGCAAGTCGGTCAGCTGCTGCAGGGCCGCCTCGCGCACTCGATGGTCGCGATCCCGGAAGAAGGAGGCCAGCGTGCTGATCAGCCGGCCAACTTCCTTGGCCGTATGGAGCTGCCGACCGCCGGGGCTGCTGCCGGGGGTCCGCCAGTTGGCCGGCGCCCCGGAGCCCAGGCGGATGTATGCGCCGAAAAGCCGGAGCCCGGCCACGCGTGCCGGCGCGGCCGCATGTGCCAGAAGCAGGGCCGCGCTATTGTCGATGCGCCCGGCGAGCGTGGCGAAAACCGACTCGCCGCCAGGCTCCGCGGACTCCAGCAGCCCGGGGCCCCCGCCGGGGGGGCTGTCCGCGCCGAGCACCAGGTCGGCTGCAGTTTGTAGAACTTCGGGGCATGTATGCGTGGCGAGCTGCGTGTATATAGGGGGGGGGGGAGGAAACGGGGAGGACGAGCAGAGGGGTGAGTGTTGACGAGCGCATGGAGGCGGCAGGGCAGCAGCGTAGGGCGCGCACAATGCCGAGAGCCAGAGGCAGGGCCGTCGAGTGAACCCACTGGTGGCTACCAACAAGGCCGTGGGGTGGATTCCCGTGTGCTGAGGCGTCCGGATCGGGATCGGCCACCGGGTGGGGAGCTCGGCAGGCCAGGGCCAGCAGTTCAACCAGCCGCGCGGCGGAGGTGGCCGCATCGGACCCGGGGGCCGGGGGCGCCGGGGCCAGGGGGACGCCGCGCGCGCGGGGTTCCACAAAGGATCCCAGCAATTGGAGGAAGTTGGCGGCATCCGGCGGCAGGGCGGTGTCCGGCGGGGGGAGTCCCGCCGGCGCGGGGGTGTTCAGCCGGAGGGCACGGAAGAGGTGCGAAAGGAGGATGGCGGCATCGGCCGGCGCCCCGGCGCGTGCATGCAGCACACGAATGATCTACCATGGCCCAGGTCGGTGTATGGGAAATGCATGAGCCGAGATCGAGCGGGGCGGAGAGGCGAAGAGGGAGAAAGAAAGAGAAACGGAGTCAGGAGTAGTGTGAAGGCTGGCAGGGGCACGCACCACGTGCCGATCGGCCATCGGGCCGGAGCAAAGAACATCCAGCGGCGCATTGGGACCGAGATCCTCCAGGAGACGAGCAATGTGCGGCGAGGCGGGGGGACTTGCGGCCGCGGCTGTGTCACGCGAAAGCCGGAGAATCTGCCAGGGGGGGCCACCAAGATGACGGACGTCAGTTGGTGGGGGGGGGGGGGG